TGTTAGGTGGTAGACATGTGCCTATGTTTGTATGTATACCGGTATTCCCTCCCCCCCCTCTTGAATCCCATTTAAAACTTAAAGAAGCTAGCAAGTAATCAATGTTGGTAGTTTTGGTGACCAAACAATCTTAATGCCTATATTTCTAGATGTCCATAGACAACTTTTTTGTGCATGATGCTGCTAAAAAACTTCGTGTGCAAGCTATCATGCACAGCTGTGGTAGAAAATGCTAAGAGTTGACCATATCCCTTGTGAGCCAACAAGTTTCATCAGTTTGAACACATTTATTTTGTTTGACGATTAATTATATGCGCAGTTAGCGAGCTGCCACGTTGATCATTGGAGAGAAACTAATGATAATCTAGTTGAAAACAAGAGGAAAATATCGGTATATCAGCAATCCTAATAAGCAATACTGATGGTGATACTTATCCTATGAATGTCGTTAATTTAGTATTGATTATTTGTATCATAGAGTGTGAATGAGATGAGGAACTTGGATTATTGTGAGACTACTTGATTGAATGGATGAGTGTGAATGAGATGAGGAACTTGGATTATTGTGATACTTATCCTTCTAAGGTCAATTGTGTTTCCATTCTGATTCTAAAAGAAAAATTGAGAGATCTAGTGTATTTTGATGAACTTTCCTGTAATGACAAATGCCATTAATTATGCATTAATTGTTAGTAGTTGGATACTTGGATGTCAATTGTGTTTCCATTCTGATTCTAAAAGAAAAATTGAGAGATCTAGTGTATTTTGATGAACTTTCCCGTAATGACAAATGTCATTAATTACGCATTAATTGTTAGTAGTTGGATACTTGGATGTCAATTGTGTTTCCATTCTGATTCTAAAAGAAAAATTGAGAGATCTCGTGTATTTTGATGAACTTTCCTGTAATGACAGATATGCATTGTTAGTAGTTGAATGTCACACTTCTTTTATAGCTGGTATCAGTTTTAGGATGCTTTGATGCATGTCTGCAGCTTTTGTTGCGGACGATAGAGTTACAGCGATGCTTCAAGGTGCAGGTTTAATTGGTCGTCGTCATCGTAGCCTGAGAAATAAACAGCAACTTCTGACTTCAAGTTTGAGAACAGCAAACAATTATTAGAGGTTCAAAAATATCGCATTCATCAGAAGTAATGGCGTAGCAAGTAGATATGTTAGACTGTTTGTATACATTTGAGAAGGAAATGAAGACATACTGAAGCTAAAATAATAGCAAGACGCTGATAGTTACAAAGAGGCCAGCACTTTTTCTTATCTACCTGCGGACATGTTCCGTGTCTAGAGTCACAATGTGGTTGGAAGTTGTCAATAAGTTGGACAACAATCTAAAATAAATACAAGTTCACACAACCCTCGTGTTGAGAAAACATACGCATCTTATCTGTACTTGACCCAGAAGCTTTATAAATGAGGATGTCAGACTAAGGTTTAAGCAGTACTTCAAAAATGAATTTGAAAATAAATACCAGTTCAGCTAATCCTGAGGTCGAAGATGATCAGCCTGTAAGCCCTCAAGCTCAGTATCTCAACAGTGAAGTTCTTTGTATAAGCATTCTCGCGGTTTTTGAGTCGGAGATCCCCATTGATGACTCTCAAGCTACGTGCACGTTGGAGAACCTCTTCTTGCCCATAAACCCTCGGTTCTCTTCGATTATGGTAACATATCTTATTGACTTTATCGATATAACGGACAAATTTTCAAAACCATCCCATTTTGAAATTTATTTATAAAAAACGACCTCTTTTAGCCTTAATTGTAAAAACCGACCCAGTTGGTTGAAACTGGGTCGGTTTTTGAAATTTTTTTTTCAAACTTCACGGGAGGTCAACTCCCGTGAAGTTTTGTTATGAGAAAAAACTTCACGGGAGTTGAACTCCCGTGAAGTTTGGAATTTTTTTTTTCAAAAACCGACCCAGTTTCAACAAACTGGGTCGGTTTTTGCAATTAAGGCTAAAAGGAGTCGTTTTTTATAAATAAATTTTAAAATGGGATGGTTTTGAAAATTTGTCCTCGATATAACACATAGATTCTGGGATTAATTGCTGATAGGCCCTTTTTACAGTATACCCAAATAATTTCTACCCCTGTAATTCTATTGCTGCAGATAGATCCCCTGAAAAAGTTCTTTTGTTGCAGATAGATCCCCCGAATAAAAATTTGTTGTTGCAGATAAACCCCCCTGAAAAGGGTCATAAAAATTTCACTCAGGGCGTCTGTCTGCAATAATTAATAGAACTGCAGGGCAGAAGTTCAAATTGGCGATAGTGCAAGGGGCCAGTCAGCAGTTAACCCTATATCATACACACCATGTTTCTAGTTTTCAAGTGCATAATTAACTTGTATTTTAGGTGAAGGATGAGCATGGGACTTCAAAATGGAAGAAGGTTCAAATCAAATTAGGGGATCATATTAAAACTCCAATATTCCCCCCCGGATTGGAATTATACGACGATTACATGCAAGAATACCTAGCGAAAATCGCAACGGATCTCTTGCCAGAAGATAAACCTCTATGGAACATACACATAATCAAGTATCCAACGAAGCAGGCAGCTGGTTCTCTTGTGTTCAAGCTTCATCATTCACTAGGAGATGGATTCTCACTTATGGCAGCTCTTTTCAATTGTGCGCAAAGAGCTGATAATCCTTCTCTTCCCCTAACCTTTCCTTCTAATGAAAACCCGAAACCTCAAAAATGGGGAGCTTATAGATTCGTGTCTAAGGTTTTCTCAATGTGCATCAATACCGTGAAGGATTTCACTTGGAGCCTTTTGATGAGTAGCGTGATGAAAGATAGTATAACTCCCATAAGGTCAGGGGAAGTTGGTATAGAGGATAGACCGATAACTTTGTCCACCGTCACATTCTCGCTCAGTGAAATCAAGCAGATAAAGGCCAAGCTACAAGGGGTAAGATCAATCGAACAAATCTCAAAACTTATGGCATTTTATCTATAGGCATTAGTTTTTACAGCAAAGTGGGTTCTTCCATGTCGTTGAATCCGTCAAATATCAAGCCCACAAAGGCCGAGCTAAACAGGGTAAGCTCATCAATTGAGAACTTTTTGAAGCTTAATCGTACAAAAAAAATACGCGGCGATGAGCAAAATGCTCGGTCTATGGCATTCTGCGCGCCCACGTAATTGCCTTCAGAGCAAAGTGAAATTCTTAATTTCATTCCGTCGAGCTCTTGCTGCGTCCATGACTCAAACTAGACTTTCCTCCTCTTGTTTTTATTTATTTTTTTTTGTACTACAGACAGTGAATGATGCGGTAACCGGCATAATTTTCCACGGCATCCAGCTCTACATGCAATCTGCAGGCCAAAAAACGAAGCCCGCGAAGGTCACAGCCCTCGTATTGCTCAACACGAGAGCAATGAGGACGTACCAACCGGTTGAGGAGATGGTTCGGCGAGATTCGCAGGCTCCTTGGGGCAACCATTTCGCCTTCCTGCACGTTTCGGTCCCCGCACATAAAGACGCTGAGAGGGCCGATCCCTTGAACTCAATACGCCGAGCCAAGAAAACCATCAAGGCTAAAAGGAACTCGCTTGGGGTTCATCTCACCGCGGGAGCTCTGGACCTCATGAGGAAGTTTAAAGGACCTGAGGTGTGTTAAAAGGAAAATGATTTAAGGACCCAAAATATGGGACCAATGGAGGAGACAGATGAAGTGTTCCCTCCCTATTGCATAATGAGTTGGTTGTGCCAACTCATTATGCAATAGGGATGAGACAACTCACCTGTCCCCTTCATTGGTCCCATATTTTGGGTCCCCGTAGCAACACTCGTGTTAAAAAGAATGAATTTTAATCTTACGGTAAATCTCACAGAAAATCCCAAAAAACTTCAAAACGTTATTTTTAGAAAATCCACATTAACTTTTGAAAAAAGTTAAAAAAAAACCCATTATGCCGTTAGGAAGTTTTCTAGGAAAAGTTGCATACATTTGGGGGTTTTGTGACAAGTCCTAAAGGATTGGCAGTTAAGTGACATTTACAAAGTTTAGAGGGGTTATCTCAAAGTGGACTAAACTTTGGGCGGGTTTTGTGAAATTTACCCTAAACTTAACTTTTATGTTTCTAAAACTATCATGATTATTAGAGCATTTTTTATGCAGGTTGTTTCTAAGCAAGTATACAAAACATTAGCCAACACGAGCATGGCGATTTCTAATATGATTGGGCCAATTGAAAAGATGCAGATTGCGAATCACCCGGTAAAAAGTTTCTACTTCATGATGGTGAGAGCGCCACAGGTAAGGAAAAAAGAAACATCTAGTAGAGCCCCCCGTACTATAGCTTGATTGCAGATAGACCCCCTGAATTTCTTTTTGACTCTGGTATACCCTCAAAGAAAGGGAAAATTATTATTATTATTCATACAAAATAGGCCTCCTCAGGGTAAAGGAGTCAAAAAAAAAAAAAAATCAATCAAGATGTCTATCTGCAACAGTAGAATTACAACAGGGGGTCTATCCGCAATTAACTCTTCTCGGAAAACCTGAATAAAATATTGAATTATCTTTTCCTCCGTTTTGTAGTCTCTCACAATAACCGTAGTAAGCTACATGGGGATGATAAAAGTTGCTATTGGAGCAGAGAGAGACTTCATAAATTCTGAGCTTCTTGTATCCTGTATGGAGAAGTCATTCCAGAGGATTTTTGAAGAAGCGGTCGGCAAGAGAAGTTAATGCGTTACTAAAACCAAATGATATTTCTTCTAATATTATTTTTACGGTGATGATTCTTGTAGTCAACACCTAAAAATTTGAGATAAAAGTTTTGTTGGTGTTGTCTCTCCATTGGTTGTATTGAAAAATATGTTAAATAATATCTTATGTTATAAATTTTTAAGTTTATTAAATTGAGCATCAAAGATTACACAACCGGCAAATATATGTTCCCTTAATTTAAGAAGTTTGTTTGCGATAACCTCGTATCTTAAATACGAATAAGTTAAGGGAGTGCAGAAGAATTATAACTGTGTGTTGTATTCTTTTTACACGAATTACTTCTAACCTTTCATTGAATCGGGATGGGAAGATCCATTAGACTCTGACTGTATTTTTGCTTTCGACATCCACAAAAACGACCAGGTCAAAGATGAATTCAAACTCATCTATACTAATGACACATCTCCTATATATATTCTCTAATAGGGACACCTCCCCTAAAGAAGTAGAAACTGATAACAGAACATCTAAGGAATGTGTAACTAACTGAAGCCTATACATGAAGGCATGAAATATGAAAGAATACAAAGTTCCTGAATCAAACAAGATTCGAGCTGGATAAGAATTTACTACGAAAACTCCGCTCACACTATGTTCACGCGGTATGACTACATAAACTCTGCTGGTGGCCGGCGCCTGCTGCGCTGCTGGTGGTGAAACACATGGGTCAATCTGACGCTGATGAATACTCTGAATAGCGCAATTCTGGCCTATAGCCCCCTAAATCCTCGGAGTAACCGGTAGTACATCTATCCTCCGATGCTGGCCGTAACCGTGGCCCTAAGACTATTGACCCTGACATCTGTCATGCTGGTCTTCTGCTGGTGTACTGCGATAATCCTTCGCTCTATGTTTGATCTTGTTACAATTGTATTATGTATCCCGAATCCTGCGTTGCTATCGAATCATGTTGTGCTCTCTTCTTATAACATCTTTGTTGCTGATGGTAAATATCCTTACCCCGCTGCTGTGTCCTCTAGATCCCACAATAGGTCTCTTGCCCTTGTCATTTCCATCATGCTAGTCTTGATTTCATAATTAACTATAAGCATATCTCATTGTTTTAATCGAACTAGTTCTAACTGCTTGTCGAAGAAGTAAACAAAATTTTTTCAAATAAGTGATATTCATTGTCCCGATAAAAATATGAAATCGTAGCTATCCTTTGCTGCTATTCCCCGGTGATGTCCTCTATGCTGAATATTTTTAACCTCTGGTTTGGTACTGAGTCTACGTTAAGAAATTTTCACATATTCCTTTTTATTCATAAGCTGCACATAAATCCAGTGTGCCCTGCACTATGGCGTTCTCAGTGTCTGATATCTTTACTATTCTTACAGAGCCAAGCCTCCTGCTCTGCGGCTCTATCAACAGCTGGTTGTGGTGATGATGAAATCATAGGTATTGCCTCTTCAATAGGCATGACTGGTACAAATTAGTGGTGCAACCCCAGAAAATGATACTACTGGCGAAAACGGATGCGCCTCTCGCTCCTTGAGTGTTACAAAATCTTATTGCAAACGGTGCCATAAAGTCGATCAAATACTATAGAGCCTATTGCGGCTCGGGCTTTGCTTGCCCAGCTCTCTAGGTACGAGTTTTATCTCGACTGCATACTCGTCCCAATATTTATAATATCAAGAGGAGAGCTTAATGAACATAGTAAATGAGGTTACAAAAAAAAATATACATAACGTATCACAATACGTATTCATAACATATAGTATTCACGCAAATACTTTAAATCAACATAAAATAATTGTTAAAAAAAATTTCAAAAATTTTGAGATATACCCACATATCGTCCTAACTCATTCTAGGAAATTCTTAGCGGACTCTATACATGAATCCTAGGAAACTCTATCCTAGCTCCATAATTTGACACATGAATGATCCTAAGGATATTGGAACTAGAGCTCTGATACTAACTGTGACGCCCTAGGGTTCACACAAGGCTACAGTCCAAGGTAAAGCCCGAATTGTCAAACCTGCCAAGCACCAAACACCATGCTACGATATGTTTCACTATCATAGTCACTATCTCTCTAGTGAAAACAACAAATAGGTGAAGGTACAAAACAAGCAAATAATAGAAGTAGTACAAAATCAGATATGCACAAAAGAAATATATCAACAAATGAGCCCAATTAAAATAGAATGAAAATATCTCTGAGTCTGAAATACATCTCAACACAATGAGTCAAATAAAACCTCACTAAGGCATTCAGCCTCTACAAAATGAATACAATTCTAAAGTCTGAATAATGAACATAACTATACAGTGGAGCTTCAGCTACTAAGACCGTGCGACGATGACCATGCTAGAACTCCGTCATCCCACGACTCTCCGAAACTCTGATCAGTCTGAAAGAGATAATTTAAACAAAAAGAACAACAACAAGAGCGTCAGAGCAATACAGCAAGATCAACTCCATCCGCCCCCAGGGGAAGGGCTGCTAGATGAAGTTGATGCTCTATCTATTAAGCATAGTCTACCTATATTATTTTTCTCGTATCTAATGGAGTTAATATTTAGACACCTACAAGACGAGACGTAGTACGTTGAGGGAAATAATCTAAACAAGGAAACCCTCATATATATACCATATGCCTTAAATTATAGATCCCTAAATACCAATTCTAACTCTATGAATGAAAATAACACTCAAAAGAAATACTCCAAGCCTCAACCATATAGAACCAATATCAAAATCTCGAACTACTTCTCAACAAGCCTCAACCATATAGAACCAATATCAAAATCTCGAACTACTTCTCAAGTAGTTGGCGCAATAATAAGAGAATATCATCCAACTCAAAAATCACCATAGGCCATATCCTGTATGCCACAAATCAAAGAATGTACCCTACTCATGAGTATTCTAACATGGGAGTAACTACAACTGATAATACATATATGTGTATATCTCCTTGTGCAATAGCGATACTCTTGTAATATTCTTACTCAATCGCTCTGCGGCAATATGTTTTGTCTCGCTATTCCGGATACATAAAATAATGATATTTTTGTAATATTCTTACTCAATCGTCTTGCGAAAATAGGTTTTATCTCCCTATTCCGGATACATGAATAACAATACTATTGTAATACTATTACTCAATCGTCTTGCGGAAATAGGTTTTTATCTCCCTAGTTCTGGATACATGAAAAATGACTATACTCTCCCATATGTATTCATCAGCTCAACATGAGACAAAAATATGTTAACACAACATAATCTAAGTGTACATACACATATCTCGGTGTGCGTGTCCATAACTGGTATTCACCTTCATCTCAGGTGTTAAACAACTCTTAAGCGTCATAATATATCAGTACAAGATCGAGAAACTCTCTTAAAAACCAAACAAAGCCAAACAAACATACACATGCCATAAAAGAAGTTGGCGGTTGATCATAATTATGCGGCGGTCGACCGCGATAGGTTTTCAGGGTTGCCCAAGCTTCTTCCAAGCACGCGGTCGACGCCACTAAGGTGCGGACGACCGAACACAGAAATTCCAGAAACGTGTAGGTTTCTACACAATGTTGTGTTCATGTTGACTTTGTGATTCAAACATGTTTAAAACATACTGAAACATATATAAAACATACAACAACACTTAAACTTTGATAGTCACTTGTTGAAACTATCTCGAACATAAATCAAACTCTTGTGTTAATTTAATTAGGGTTTTTCAACCTAATTAACTAAATTCTTCAATTTAAAGCATGAAATTTTAACATATTAAACATAAACATGATTGCCAAACATCTCAGAAAAGTATACATTCATTAAATCATATTTTTTAACACTTAGGTATCACAAACCTAGGATTTTCTCATCTTTAATCCACATGTAAACTCAACTAAATGTCAAATTATGGTTTAAACATGATAAGAACATGATTAACAAGTTAAAAATGAAATTTTAAAGAACTCTAATGATCATGATCATGTTTCTATTATAAACAGCAAGAAAAACATGTAGATCTAACATTTGTTTCAGATCTAATGATCATGATCATGTTTCTATTATAAACAGCAAGAAAAACATGTAGATCTAACATTTGTTTCAGATCTAACAACAAAAATCTAATCTTTTTAAAACATGTAGATCTAACATTTGTTTCAGATCTAACAACAAAAATCTAATCTTTTTCACATTAGATTAATATCTAAGTATGTAAACATAAATTAAACTTCTAAGCTAGTTATTTAACTATGGGGATGGGTTTGGATACAAGTGATCTTGCCTTTGCACGTGAACAAGCCTCTGAAACGAACAGCAAATGATCTCTCGACGCTAAACATCAGATAACAACTGGATTCGGTATAAACAAAACCTAACCTAAAACAAACCTGGCAGATCAGATTCGTCCAGTGGTCGACCGCCATGGTCGACTGCGCAGGTTTCTGGGCCGTGCTCAGACTGGGGTTTGGTAAAAAGGTTATAACTTTCTTATCCGATCTCGGAATGAGGTGAAGATATGTTGGAAAGCTACTGAAGAGACCTATAACTTTGGTCTTTTATACTTTTCCACATTCTGACTGCATCGATGTGTAAAACATAAAAACTCTCAACTGGTCATTATTCCCAGATTTTCACTCTTTTGGCCTTTGTGCATGTTTTGTGTATTTGCACTCATATTTTTTGGCCTTTGTGCATGTTTTGTGTATTTGCACTCATATTTTCACAAATATACATTGAATTGATCTCAAATCAATTCTTATCATACTCAAACATCACATTGAATTGATCTCAAATCAATTCTTATCATACTCAAACATCAAGATATGTTATTTTTTACTATATAGCATATTTATTATTATTTATCATAAAATATTTAAATTTACAGGGTTTTACATTCTTTCCCCTTAAAAGAATTTCATTCCCGAAATTCCGCAATTGTATCTTAGGAATTAATAATATGAGAAAAGCACTAAGAGGGGATAATCCAGACAAGAAAACCCTCCCTTACACATCGCGTATCATTAATCCCTAGATATGAATCACTAGCAATATCTATGTTTAATAATATAAAATACGAATACTCCCACT